GCTTTATCTCAACCTTCACTTTACGTGATTCCCCACATTTCTGTCACAGCACTCACCTGAATCCGAGTGGAGCTGACGAGAATTTAAGGACGTCGAGGAGAGCGCAATGGCACCCACGAGAGGGCACCACAGCACGGAAGCGACAGCGCAAACAAGGATAAACGGCCTGCTGTTGTTTCTGGAAACAAACGCAACGACGCTGCGTTGCAAATAGGTAGCTCCCGAATTCGGTGCCGCGAGACCGAGCGTGCGGGGAGATACTGTTACTGTATATTGTTGCGTCTACGAAAGGGGTTTATTCATGCAGACGCGACGTAACGGTAGACTCGAAGGTGTTGAACAAACGCGCACCGAAGACCTTTTTCACTAGCCGAAGTTTGTGCACAGTGAATGTACTCAGTATAACAGATACAGTATGCGGCTATATAAGTTGTCCAAACTAACGAATGCGCCCACTAGACGGCACAACACGAGGTCGAACCGCTCCCTACGTGGGACCAAGCAACACCTGAGGTGTAGGAATAAACGCTTTATTACGCGGAACCGAAAGAAAGCGTTCTTTCTTCACGCTATAGGTGCATAGGTGGATGTACCGGCCCAAATAGCTGCTGTTTGTAATGCAGCGGCCCATGCCCGAAAAAAAAAAGACAAAAATTGAAAGACGGCAGAAAAGAGGAAGACTAAAAGAAGAGGCATGTACTAATAGAAGGATAGCAAAAAAAAAAAACCCTCGTGCGACTAATCTGCGCACAAAAAAAAAAAAAACTTCAGCAGAATGCGATGGTGGAATTACTACAGGCGACAGCTGGGTGGCAACGACTAAGCTCGCTAAATTGGCCATGACTTGGTCCAGCGTACTTGGCAATAACGGTAGCGGGTTCGATTACCGGCCGAGGCGGCGTTCCCGACCGGGCAGCGCATCGTCGAGCACACCGTGCTTTGGTTTCAGGATACAATACTCCAGATTGCCGAAAACGATCGTAACACTTCTCATCTAGCTGCGATCGCATTACTTTGAGGCGGTACGACCAATTAACTACCACATGGGCCAAGCAATTAAGGAATGCGAGTAACGTTACGCCGGTGAGATGCGGGAGATATGCATGTATAATTAATAACGAATGGTACTATAGTTACACGTCATATGCAGGAAGCCTACGGGTGGCGCTACGGATAGTGGAATGTTCCGAATCAACGTTGGCTACCTTTCGCGGAACGCATCATAAGGGACACTGAGGTAAAAAAAAAAAAAAAAACGATCTCTTTAGTACTAATAAAGAGCTAAGACGAGACCTAAGAAATTGCTCACAGTAAATAAATACCAAAATCACAAGTTTTTCCGTGAGGAGGACACCTGATAAGCGAGAGAGCATGGATAAAGAGAACGTCACGTTGGTTCTGGCACCGCGTTGAAACTCCCGCGCTAGGTCGATGTGACGTGACGAGTTTTGAGGACCTCCTAAAGTGCTTTCATAGTCCTTAATAAGTAGAAATGAAGTACAGCGTCTTCTCAAAAAACCAAAGACTAGACGCGCCAATTTCGTGCGAACCTTCTATAGAGCGAATCCTGGCAATGCACCAAGGAAAAAAAAAAAATCTACCCTATTACATTGATGTTCACAAGCAAAAACTCACACTCTTCCCTCCTTCTCTATCGCTACTATCACCCCCTTTTCCCACCTACAGCTGGTACCCTTGCCCTTGAAACTCATGTTTGCTATACACATCCTTTCTCACTGCCGGCGGATCCTCCCCCGCGGTCCCCATAGAGCACCATAAAAGCCTTGGAAAGGCTTGGGAGACCCTACTGCGCTCAGGGACCCGGGTGAGCAGACCATGGCCGGCGACCGGGCTGCCAGACGTCAGGACCACCACCAAATGAACGCTGAGGGCCAAAGGGGTCGTGCAAGGGGGCCCGAGGAGCCTTGCGTGCTCCAAACTCCTCTGTTGATAAAGTTTTCTCCTACTCCTCTATACTGTGCAGTCGGAGAGCGGAAGAGGATCACTCGTTTTTTTAGGGGCGAAGCTCATTATGGCGGCTTGTGCGTCCCCCGTTGTCGTAGTGCGTAACCTGTGGCACATACCCGCATATACCAGTGGCACATACCCACCCTCGGGCACTTATGCGCACTTCCACATATTACGAAAAACGTAGCACGGCGTCGTTACCAAGCTCTCGGTGTTAACAAAGCGCTGACAGCAGAAGTGTGCTACATACTCTCGTTTAGTCCTAGCATTGTCCGTTGGATGGCGGTGCTTGTGCATGATGAATATAGTATAAAAAGAAGCGAGGTGACGGTACTTGAAGTGTTCACTAAATTGACGGACGCACGGACGGGCAGACAGACAAGATGACGGACGGACGGACGGACGGACAGACAGACAGACGAACGAACGAACAAACGGAAGTAAGGACGGACAGACGCACGTACGGATGGATTGACACACGGACGAACGGACGCACGAACGGGCGCACGGACGGCAGCACGGACGGATTGGCGGACACTTCGCCCCACTCATCATCCTTCATTCCGTGGATATGCTGTGATTTTGTTCTTGTTTTACGTGCCATCAACGAATTTCTGAGAGTAAATCACTCTTTCACCGCGCCATGCGAGTGATCAGGCACGCACGAACAACGCTCATACAGACGCACCCGATGGAGGCCTATGAAGACCATCTAAGCTCCAAAGAGGGGTCGAGAGCACGTGCATGATTGTGTTTTGTGTGTCTGTGTGAGAGAAAGAGAGAGAGAGAAGCAGGTGGTGAGGGCAAAGCTTGAATGGCCCAGCAGAGGCGGGATTAATGCGGCAACAACGGCAGTAACGAGATGAATGAGCTCGATATTTACGGAAAGCACTTTCCTTGACCACCAACGGAAAGATAAACGAGGCGCCCTCCACTGAATCGTATACAGTCGACCACGAGCTATGAAGGCGTAGTTGTTGCCTTTTAGTCCTGGGGTCTTTCTTTTTGCTTTTTGCTTTATCTCAACCTTCACTTTACGTGATTCCCCACATTTCTGTCGCAGCACTAACCTGAATCCGAGTGGAGCTGACGAGAATTTAAGGACGTCGAGGAGAGCGCAAAGGCACCCACGAGAGGGCAGCACAGCACGGAAGCGAGAGCGCAAACGAGGATAAACGGCCTGCTGTTGTTTCTGAAAACAAACGCAACGACGCTGCGTTGCAAATAGGTTGTTCCCAAATTTGGCACCACGAGACCGAGGGGGAGCGTGCGGGGAGATACTGTTACTGTATATTGTTGCGTCTACGAAAGGGGTTTATTCATGCAGACGCGACGTAACGGTAGACTCGAAGGTGTTGAACAAACGCGCACCGAAGACCTTTTTCATTAGCCGAAGTTTGTGCACAGTGGATGTAGTCAGTATAATAGATACAGTATGCGGCTATATAAGTTGTCAAAACTAACGAATGCACCCACTAGACGGCACAACACAAGGTCGAACCGCTCCCTACGTGGGACCAAGCAACACCTAGGTGTAGGAATAAACGCTTTATTACGCGGAACCGAAAGAAAGCGTTCTTTCTTCACGTTATAGGTGCATGGGTGGATGTCCCGGCCCAAATAGCTGCTGTTTGTAATGCAGCGGCCCATGCCCGAACAAAAAGACAAAAAAATTGAAAGACGGCAGTAAAGAAGAAGACTAAAAGAAGAGGCATATACTAATATAAGCATAGCAAAAAAAAAAAAAAAAACCCTCGTGCGACTAATCTGCGTACAACAAAAAACTGGAGCAGAGTGCGATTGTAGAATTACTACAGGCGACAGCTGGGTGGCAACGACTAAGCTCGCTAATTGGCCATGACTTGGTCCAGCGTACTTGGCAATAACGGTAGCGGGTTCGATTACCGGCCGAGGCGGCGTTCCCGACAGGGCAGCGCATCGTCGAGCACACCGTGCTTTGGTTTCAGGATACAATACTCCAGATTGCCGAAACGATCGTAACACTTCTCATCTAGCTGCGATCGCATTACTTTGAGGCGGTACGACCAATTAACTACCACATGGGCCAAGCAATTAAGGAATGCGAGTAACGTTACGCCGGTGAGATGCGGGAGATATGCATGTATAATTAATAACGAATGGTACTATAGTTACACGTCATATGCAGGAAGCCTACGGGTGGCGCTACGGATAGTGGAATGTTCCGAATCAACGTTGGCTACCTTTCGCGGAACGCATCATAAGGGACACTGAGGTAAAAAAAAAAAAAAAAACGATCTCTTTAGTACTAATAAAGAGCTAAGACGAGACCTAAGAAATTGCTCACAGTAAATAAATACCAAAATCACAAGTTTTTCCGTGAGGAGGACACCTGATAAGCGAGAGAGCATGGATAAAGAGAACGTCACGTTGGTTCTGGCACCGCGTTGAAACTCCCGCGCTAGGTCGATGTGACGTGACGAGTTTTGAGGACCTCCTAAAGTGCTTTCATAGTCCTTAATAAGTAGAAATGAAGTACAGCGTCTTCTCAAAAAACCAAAGACTAGACGCGCCAATTTCGTGCGAACCTTCTATAGAGCGAATCCTGGCAATGCACCAAGGAAAAAAAAAAATCTACCCTATTACATTGATGTTCACAAGCAAAAACTTCAGTGTGAGACTTAATAATGAAACTTCGACTGTCGATTACTATTCTGTTATATATTCGGAAGACCCGAAGTCTTGTGGTAATCGGTTTCATGCGAAGCAGTCAGCGAGCGGTTGTCTTGGCTGCATTTTTTTTTTTTGCTTTCAGCCAAGCGTCGCGAGATGGATTGGCGTGTTCTTTAAAGCGTAGTAGTTGTGCGCGTAAGTCTAATTTGATTACCCGTTTCCCCTTGATGATCCTTTAAGATATCTGCACACACGAAACGAAATTAGATTTCGCACTGGAAAATATTTTCTATCGGCGGGTAGTGGAGATCACACCTCATGCAGGTCACAGCCACTGAGCTGTCGCGTGGAGACGGTTGCATATAGGTAACGTAATTTACCTGTATACCGGAGGATGTCCCGGTTGTATAGCCTTTCGGTTCAGTGGGTACGTCCGCGGGTATCAAGCCTTTGGCCCATGAGTCCTGCGAGGAAAAAATGATTAAAGTCACCACTTTCTCGAAACACTGAAAAAGTTATTCGGAACAAAATGGCGACACTAGGCAATGAAGTCACCGAGTCGACATCGTAACATCTTGTAACAACGCCACAATCAGCCATTGATTGATTGATATGTGGGGTTTAACGTCCCAAAACCACCATATGATTATGGCCACGATCAGCCATAGCACAGACACTATCACGTTAAACCACGTCCAACGCTCTGCAGCACGCGAAGCAGCTCATGGCGAAGCTCAATCTGGTGTTCGTAACCACCCTCACTGCGCATGCGCAACAGCTGGCCCAAGCACTTCCAGAACGCGCCCACGTGCTAGCGCGTTCCGGCCGGTGTGAAGGGCTGGGTAAGGCGCTGTGGCCTCTGTCCCCTTACACTCTCTCAGCAATCACGTGATGGCGTCGGGCAAGGGGATTTTGCAGACGCGCGATGAAACTATACAGTGAATTCATAGTGAGCGCCACTTGGAAGGACGCGTTAACGTCGGGCAAGGTGCCCGTGATGAACGGAACTTTCAGGTCGACCCATGCACTGCTTCGCATGCTCCTTTTAAGATGGTGTGATTTTTAACGTCAAAAAGCTCGACCGTAAGCTCTAGGTCACTGTTTTGTTACAGCTTCTTTTAGAGTTCATAGATGCGATTGTCTATATGGACGCCAACAGTGAAGTTCATATTCCGTTCTCAGCGGAGCTGCACACTCTTATTATAGTTATACTCCGTAAATATTTAGAAAATTACGCCACCGTTTTTCCGAAACTTACATGTATACAATGAAAACATATTGCAAAAAATAAGAAAATGATGCGACCGTTTGTATTAGGTGTGACATTCAACAAAAAACAAAAAACAAACGAGAGACTCAACTTCCTCCCAAGACGTTTTTGGCTCTTTCATTTCCGCCACTGCTTTTATAATAACATCGACGTCAACATCTACATCCTCTTGACGTTCGTTCTGTCACAGTAACGGTACAAATAAACGCTAATTGCACGAGTACGCCAACGCATTCGGGGCCCTGTCTTTGCTGGCACGCGCCCATGGTACGCACTTGTGGGGCTCTCCTTTAATAATAATGGCTCGCTGAACAATCCGGACGGCTAATACGCGACAGAACAAAATAAAGATTCATGAAGGAAAGGCTAGCGTATATCTCCGCGGGCACCAGCGAAAACTCATATTCATACGCAGTTCACGAGAAAGTATACGGGCACGAAATCAAGAGATTGATGATGACAGCGCAAAGAAGACGAATTGCTGGTTCTGCGGGCAACCCTGTGCCCGACAGTGGCCGGTAGTAACGTGGCCTCCGCTGTTCGCACGCGCGAAACGGGAGAGGCACGCAGGCAGGCAACGCCAGGGGCCATTCGATCGGATCTCGCACGCATGCAGTGTTTCTTTGCGGCGTTGTCTTTGCGTGGTGCAGACGCAACAAAGGTATGAAAAAATAAAGGCGCAAGGGAAGAAAGGGCAAGGGAACGAACTTCGCGCAGGAAGGAAAAGCTCACGGCGCCAGCGGTAATTAATGACCTACGCGTGCACGGCGCTAAAATCGAGCTTTTTTTCTTCCTTTCTTTTTCGTGTTTTCTTTTTTCCTTTCGTTTTTTCTTTCTTCTGCGTATAAGACGAGATGATAGAGGTTCTGTACCTTGTCTGGTATGTGGGTACAATTAAATTCCTTTGCAAGCGACATGGTCTGGGTAGCAATTATTGTCTCTTATATGACATGTCTGTAAAAGCAGGGCACCTATTTTGCATTTTCTTACCAACCCATATTTTACTGCAGGCCAACTGGTGTCTCTGATATATTTTTGTCTGTTATATCAGTTTCTCTTACAAAGGGGGTTCGACTGTATAATAAGCAAATGAGTTTGCTGAATACCGGGTAAGCGGGATATGGTATCGATATCTTGTCACGTTTCGTGCGCACACAATTTAGGGATTCTTACGGATGGACTTCGGTATACAGCCATGCTGGGCTGTTCGCTTCACCGTTTTTTTTTTTACTAAACAAACAGCACTACAGAAGACGGATATGTGTGAAAACAGTTGGGTTGGAAAATTCGACATTTCACGACCTTATAAAGTCACTTCGCGATATTAAAAAAATATTCGTTTAACAGCGCAAGATGTAGGAGCCCATGTGCTACGTAAAATAGTCGATTGGTTGTTTTCACCTGTCCTCTGGAAGAGAGTTTAAAAGGTCAACTTATTCGCTATTGGACCACAGCCGAGAATTTATATCAACCGAGAAGTAGAATACGCAAGGGTTTGTGATAACAATGCTGTGCTTGCCTGGTTCGTGTCAGCCCCGCGGGATGGCGCGACCTGTCCGACCATCCCTGTTTATAGTTACGGTATCCGGTGAAAGGCTAACGTAGAGATGTTTGCGGTCAAACTAAAATTCTATTTCTGTTCCACGCATGGACGGACCGTCGGGAGACCGTTGCCTATTATATCCAATACCGGTGGGTCACTGCGTTGTATACTGAATGCTGATCATTTCCAGGCTAATGTGGATGTATCACGTGGACAAGGGTTCTATTTCCGGCCACATTGTCCGTGTTCAAAATGGAAGCAAAAAAAAAAAACAGTTTGTTGATTAGGTTCGGGTGCGCAGAAAAAAAAGCCAAATAGTAATATTCTATTCGTCGTCTGCACGTCTTTCATAATCGTACCCTAGTGTCGGCCCACTAAGCCCAGTAATTTTTTCCCTACGTACCTTGCAAAACAAAAACAAAAACCTGACTTACCAGTATGTAGCATTGAACATTAACTTCTATACGGTTTTACGCGCCAAAATTCACAGTTGACTATGAGGCACGCCTGCGTGATTAATTTTGACCAACAGGGTCTCTTCAACGGGCACCAAACTCTAAACACGAGGAAGTGAACACATTGTGAAGTGCGCATGCTTGTTAAGCATGTCGCATATACACCTTAGAACAGAGCCGAATTTTTGTTTCATTTTTTAGCACGTTGGGGATGGCATGCGAAGAAAAAATGATAAGGTTAGTTTTACATGAGCAAGCATGCAACCAGACGGGCAACATATCAACAAAGTACGAAGCAACATCGCCCCCAGTCTGAGACGAGAAGAAGCAGAGACTAGAGAGTTAGGCGAAAGCGAGGCGGTCATGACAGGACGAGAGTTATAGCGCGAAAACAAAGCGACGACACAGAGACAAGAAGGACACGAAAGGACACGAGCGCTAACTTCCAACTGTGGCGCAACAAGCGCTCGTGTCCTTCTTGTCTCTGTGTCGTCGTTTTGTTCTCGCGCTATAACTATCGTCATGCCATACCAACTAGCCCAAGCTGCCACACTTCTAAGGTCATGACAAGTTGGAGCTTGAGGTCAATCCCACATTGTCGACAGCTGCTAGCAGTGAGACGGTTTCCCCGCACTGTCTACGTGCACAGCAGGCAAGCAGATAAAAAAGGGTACCGCGAACACGCAGCGCCTTGTTCATGCCGAGTGCGCTCGTGGACATTGCCGTCTTCAACGACTGACAGGGGCCGCCACCTGCACGTGTGAGTCACGCGCGAAGAGCGGCTGCTGCACGCAGGCGAACCGACAACCGAGTGCACGAGAGCTATGTATACGAATGAAAACAACAAACAAGAACATGGGAAAGTCCGGACGGTTCACGAAATGAATCGAGCCGCTTCCTGCGAGTAGTGGTATACGGGATGCTTCACCAATATGCACGTGCGTTTAGAACAAATTGTGAACGCTTTAGAGCATAGCCGATCTTGTTCAAGATTAAGGCAGCTTCGCACCGGAGGTGCAAAGCCTGAAAAAAGCGCAGGGCTCTACAGCCCTCTCTTCGGTTTTGGCTCTCTTTCCTCCATTCCTTCTTTTTCCATTTTCCTATCTTTTTTCTATCTATTTATATTTATTTCTATTTCTACTTTTTACTTTCTCTCCGTTTCTATTTCTCGCTTGCTTCCTTTTGCCATTTCGATAAGGGGCTTTGCCTGCGGTACACCAAACGACGATCGCGTACGAAAGAAAGCACGGACACCTAAAAGTGCTCAGCACTTGATATCATCTTCAAGACGCTTGAATAGCACAACAAGACCTCTCTTTTGGTGCGAACGTGTTCAATCTGCTATGCACAGCTGGCTATGCTGCATATGCGTTTGCCTATGTTACGCCTAGCGACAACGACAGCCCAGGCGATCACAGCGTATATGACAGCCCGAACTGTACATAAAGTGCTCCGCCCTGAAAATATCAAAACAAATTTTATTTCCTAGAAAGAAACAGGTTCTGGAGAAGTTCACGGGCTAAAAGCTGTTTATGGACAGCTTGATGAGGCCAGTGAACCCTATACAAGACAGGTGGAACAACGACAAGATGCGTATTACAATAAAGACCATAAGCTAACATTACAATACCAAATACGGTGTAAGAAGAACATATATATATATATATACATTGCTACGAAACATCCAGATATCAGCATAGCACAGAAGATTACATGGACGCGAACAAAAAGAAAAAAAAACACAGAAGAAAAATCCAGCAACCATAACAACATTATTGCCAAAAATAAAATAATAAAAATAAAAATAATTACAAAATATTAGGGAAGATATATATATATATATATATATATATATATATATATATATATATATATATATATATATATATATATATATATATATATATATATAAATTTGTTCCTTGTGTATGTCCTGCATCATATAATGTACATCACATGTCAGACAAACAAAATTATACAGACACCATGTTTGCTATGTTTTTAATCATACAACCTATTCGGTTATATGATTACGGTTATATGGTACAAGTGGAAATTCGCAGATTAGACGGTTATTGGGAATATACGGCGTTAGGTCACAGACCCATTCTCGCCAACAACGTGCCAATCGCCAACACGAGCCAAATAACCGGTTAAGGATGCGACCCTTCGGAAGTTGCAAGTACAACCCTAAAA